CTCGGCACGCATCCTGCGCCAGCGGCCTGCCCGGCGCCCCAGCCCCTGCTCGCCGGCGTCCCTTCCCCGCGCGGACCTTGGAGACCCATCCCAGCGTCACCCTCGAAACCTTTGTTTCATCTCGGGACCCGGGCGCGGGGTCCCTGCTGCGGTCTGCGCGTGGCCGAGGGTAGCTGGGATCTGCGAGGGGCCCTGGGGTAACGGTGGCCCTTTCGGGTTGGCGCAGGGGCTCGGGCGCCCTCTGGTGGCCGCGAGACTCCGCCCGATCCCCGTTGACTGCTCCCGCAGGGACCTGCGCTCCTGACCATGGGGCCCTTGAGCCGAGAAACCTGGGCCCAGCGCTTGGGCGCCTTCCGGGCCAGCCCGTCTGCCTTCATGGCAGGTCCTGAGGGTGAGGATCTGGGTCGTGACCTGCTGAGCGACCTGAGAAGTGAAAAGCTGAATGAACAGGCCAAGGTAGGCTCTTGCACGCGCCCCTTGCCCTGGCCCATAAGGTCACCTCAACCCACTGCGCCCTGAACCTCATCTTCGTAATTCCCACCCAAACCCCCGACCCCCAGGTTTCTTTGCTGACCCTGAGCTTGGAGTACCCAGCCCAGCTGTGGCCGGACGCCCCTGCAGCCGAGGCAGCCGCCACCTTCCTCTTGGACACCCTGGACTCTTTACCCCCACGGCCCTCAGCTCTGCGGCGGCCCCTGTTGCTGGCGGCCACCACAGCCCTGGTGTCAGGAGATGTGCTGAGCCCCACCTCGGGAGCCTCCCTCCGGCTCCTGCCCCTACTGCTTGGTTTGGCTTCCAGCGGCGATCTGGGGTCAGGCCTTGGCCCCTCCTCGGAACAGCGCTCCCTGCAGGCCACAGCGTGCGAGTGCCTGCGGGAGCTGGAGAGCTGCAAGCCGGGGCTGCTGGGGGGCTGCCTGGGGTTGCTGAGAAGTCTGCTGGGGCAGGAGGGCCCGGTGGGCCAGGTCCAGCCGCTCAGCCTGCTGTTGGCACTTGCCCTTCGCAATACCTTGGTGATACAGGCTAGGGCTAGGGCCAGTGGGCAGGGCCTGCTCACAGCCAGGGTCCCTTCCACTGGGAGTGGCCTCTGGGACTGGACACTAGCCGAAGAGGGTGATGCCCACCTTCAGCCCCAAGCGCCCAGCTGGCCGGCAGCTGAGGAAGACGGTGGCCTTTCAGCACTAGAGCCCAGTCCCGAGGAGGCCAGGGAGCTTCGGGCTGCGGTGGCCCAGCTTCTGGACACCTCCTACCTGCTCACTCCTGTGGCCCAGGCCCAGCTTTTTTGGCTGCTGGGCTGGGCCCTGCGGGGTCTACGGGGACAGCCACCAGTGCTCTTTAAGCCGCAGTTGGTACGGCTGCTGGGCACAGCACAGCTGACCCTGCTGCACGCCGTTCTGGCACTCAAGGCGGCCTTCGGCGAGGCACTGTTCACAGCCCAGGACGAGGCCTTGCTGCTCCGCCGGCTCACCTTGGCCGCCCAGCACCCAGCCCTGCCCCTGCCCGTCCATCTCTTCTACCTGCACTGCCTCCTGAGCTTTCCTGAGAATTGCCCGCTGGGCCCTGCAGGCGAGGAGGCTGCCCCGCTGCGGTTAGAGCCCCAGCTGTGCCATGGCCTCCTACCCAGTCTCCTGCACGAGCCCATGGCCCTCCTGGCCCGCCTGCACCTGCTGTGCCTGCTCTGTGCCGAAGACGGAGACGAGGAGGAGAAAGGCCAGGGTCAGAGGCCCCGGCGCTACCTGGAGGAACTGCTGGCCGGCCTGTGGCAGAGGGCAGCCCTGAGTGGGGGCCCCCGGGCCTTGGCCACACTTTGCTTCCAGGCCTCGTACCTAGCTGCTCGCTGCCTGTCTGGGCAGCCTGCAGCATTGGCACCCTTGACTCACGGACTGGCCCAGCTGTACCGGGCCCGGCCTGCGCTGGCTCCCCATTTTGTTGATCTCTTGGACCAGGTGGGCTCTGAGCTGGGGGAGCCCCTGAGGGTGTTGTTGCGACAAGACTTGGTGTCCAGGTCAGGCAGGGATGAAGCCCTTCGTTGGCACCTGCAGATGTTGGCAAAGGTGGCAGACCGGGATGCCCAGCCTGCCACCCTTCGCTTCCTACAGGCTGCAGCTGCCCACTGCACAGGCTGGGGCCTCCAGCAGGCCCTGTTGCAGGTCTGCCGGGCCCTGCTTCGGGCGGGTGTTGGGGGAGGCCTGGCTGACTTGCTGCAAGCACTGGCCAGGCAGCTGGGGGACCCCGATGGGCGGGACCACGCCCGCCTCTACTACATTCTCCTGGGCCACCTGTCAGAGCCCAAGCTGGGGGTAGCCCTGGGTCCCTCACTCGCTGCACCTGCACTGGCCTCTTCACTGGTGGCCGAGAACCAGGGTTTTGCCACGGCGCTGATGGTCCAGGAGGCGCCAGCCCCAATCCAGCTGAGTGTGGGGCCTCGCAGAGCCGAGGGCCCGGCCCCGGTGCTGCAGCTCCAGGTGGAGGTGCTGGAGCCGGTGTACTCTCTGGAGCTGCGCTTCCATGTGAAAGGACAACTGTACGCACCCCTGGACGCTGTCCATGTCCCTTGCCTGTGCCCTGGACGCCCCGCTCGCCCTCTGCTCCTGCCCCTGCAGCCCCGCCGCCCAGCTCCCACGCAGCTGGATATCCGAGCCCTGTACACCACAGCCGCTGGCCTCACGTGCTATGCTCGCCTGCCACCCCTGCCTGTGAAATTTGCTGACCTCTTCCTGCCTTTCCCCCAGCCGCCCGAGGGGGCCAGGCTGGGATTCTTTGAGGAACTCTGGGACTCCTGCCTGCCAGAGGGTACTGAGAGTCGCCTGTGGTGCCCTCTTGAGCCACAGGGGCTGGAGGCCTTGGTGTCCCGCCACCTGGATCCCTTCGTGGTGGTGGCCCAGCCTCCCACTAGCTACCACATAGCCATCCGCCTCCCCCCAGACTCGAAGCTGCTGCTGAGGCTGGAGGCAGCCCAGGCGGACGGCGTGCCGGTGGTCCTGCGGACAGATGACTGGGCTGTGCTGCCTCTGGTGGGAGACTACCTCCGCGGGTTGTCAACTGCTGTCTGAGCCCTGGGGTCGGGCACGGCAGGTGGGAACAGGACTGTGGCCTTTGTTGGGTCTGGCCTAAGGGTTGCTGGGGGCCAGAACCCAGTCCTACGGCTCCTTTAAAAACCTACACTCACCAATGCCCCTCACTGCTTTGTTTTCTTCTGGCTCCCGATCGGGGTCAGAACTCCTGGGATGGGGGTCAGGAACCCCAAGAAAGCTTCCAGGCAAAGAACCCCCAGACTACAGGGCTCCAAAGTTCCTTCCTGCCAAAACAGGCCGTGATTCTCCAGAATCCCTGCCCAAGAGGCAGGACTAAAAAACATCTTCATCTCTGCTTCCCAGAGAGGGTCTGGCCCTGCCCAAATCACCCAGCAATTTAGGAACGAGCTCGGAGCTGGGTTTGGGCCTCCTGACGCGTGGCCCAGCACTTTCTAACACCCGAGGTTTACCTTGAATCTCAGGCTGGATGGGCCGATGGGCCGACGGTCAGAAACAGGGAGGGAGAGGAGGCTGCACCAGCCCTGGGGTGGGGGGCTTGTGCGGACTGGAGCCAGCTCTAGGAAGGACTCAGGACAGTTCGGGGCTGAGAGAGGTGTCCCTGTGATCTGGGCTAAAACTAAGCTGGCTTTTCTCACCCCATCCTCTAGGAAGCCACCCGTGGACCTAGAAATCTTCCCAGGTAAGAACCAACGCCCCTAGTTCTTACTCAAAACAGATAAGATACTTAGGGTGCTGATGTATTGAGGCCAGCTCTGCTGCCAGGCACCGAGCCAGTGTTTTCCACATATGTTGCCTCATTTCATCCTTGCAACAGCTTGGCAGGGCCCCGCAGATGAGGACATCTGTAGGCGAGAGGGGTTGAGTGATTTTCCTGTGGTCATGCAGGTGGTTGATAATCATGTTTTGTCATCCTGGAGCAGGTTTCTGTTACCACACCGTCAGAGCACAGCTCTGCATGGGCCACAGGGACACAGAGTTCCCACTCCTCCTCCTTGGGCCAGCCCCCAGGAGGCTGCAGGTGCAGCAGTCAGCAGTGCTGGGTGGAGAATGACCACTGAGGGTCAGGCCTTGCTGTGCTGGGGCAAGGGCCTCTGCTGCTGCCCCTGCCTCCTGGGCTCCCAGCCTGCAGGTCCCCGTGGGCCAGTCTTGTCCCTCCTGATGGGCGCGCTAGGAGAGGAAAGGGCCTGGGACAGGTGTGGCTGTTGCAGATCGGGAAGCCTGCCCCAAGCTCGAGCTCCCGCAATAACCTGCTGTGTGATCTGGGCAAAACATCGCCACATCAGGAAGGGTTCGGTTCCAGGAAGAGGAAACTTCTCCAGCTGTTTGCGGCAGAAAAGAATTTAAGATGGTGTTAGGTACTTACAAAAATCTCCAGGAAGGCGGGAAAATGATCCTCCAGGCCACCACTGGAACCATTGAGAACACACCATCTTGCCGGCAGTCCAGCTCCTCTCCTCAGCACCCAGGAGGGTGGGCCCAGGCCCTGGAGCTTGGGGTGTGGCTGCCACCACTGCCTCTTGAGTCCTGCAAAGCCAGAGAGGCGACGCTGCTGCAGAAAGACTGACCTTTCCACAGCCGGCAGATGGCCTTAGCCTTGTTTCTTCTGTCCACATCATTCAAAGAGCATCTAATGAGTGGAATCTGTTTTTCATGCAGACAGACCTCTTGTGGCAAAGGAGTCAGAACATGTACTTGGTTTTTGTTTTCATTACCTCTGATGCAGAAGATGGTGTTAATCTTTCGCCTAAGATTAAGATAATTGACCCATATAAAGACTCACCAGCCATCCTTTCGTCTGTCTGTCTATCCATCCATACCTCCATACCATTGCATCCACCCCCATTCCTCCATGTAACCCCTCCTCCAAGCCCCACCATCACAAATGTGTCACAATGGACATTCTTACAGATCTCTGTGATGGCTTCCCTGGAATACATACCAGGAGTAGAATTGCTGATCGTAGTGCATGCATGTGAAGTTCTACTAAGAAATGTCAGAATAATTAGTTTTTAGCTTTGCATCCTCTCAGTATGCGAAGGCGTGCCAGGAGGTGGGTGCGGATGGACACTGGGTGAGCCAGCCTGTGCCATCCACCACAGTCTACCCCCTTTGCAAACTCAGTATCCACATACCTCTGCTCGGACTTAAACTTCCCAAAGATCGTAACAACGTGCTCTTGCATAACTACCCCCATACAACCACAACTTCCCCGAAAAGGGAGATCCAAAGTCCCCTCAGCCACTGTCCACTTGTGTGGACTTTACCAGTGGTCACCAGTTGCTGGTTCTCCACTTCAGACATGCTCGAACCCTTCCCTGCCTCCAGGAGGTTAGGCCTAACCACGGGACCAGCTCTAGCTAACAAGATATGAAGGGCGTTGGTTCTGGGGCAAATCATTTCATTGCCAGCCTCCACTTTCCAGGCCCTTCTACCCTGCTGTGGCAGTTGGGAAGGCATATGATGCGGAAGACGTGCGGGAGAGTTTAGTCATAATCTCACCTTGATACACTATAACGAATGCCCTGGGTTATGAAGTTAATCATCAGTAACACCCACTTTATATGAAACGAGGAAAACATGGGGAAGGATATTGCTAGAGCTGTATTTTACTTACAAGAGAAAATATTGTGCAACAAGTTATAAGGCAATAATTAGGGGCTCCGACTTTAGCAGATAAAAATAATCTTACAGGATGTTCAGTTTAATTTGAATTTCAGAGGAACAATTCATTTTTTGGTATAAGTATGTCCCAAACATTGCATAGATTGCATTAAAAAAATGAGTTTCTTTGAAATTCAGGTGTAACTGGGCATCCTGTATTTTATCTGTCAGCCCTAGGAGAGTATATAACATGTACTTATTTGTCTCACTACCCATCCTATGTTCCTTTTGCCTTCACGGATCTTTACTTAGTGGGGTGACCTTCATTCCTGAGTCCTTGGTAATCCTACCTGTATTGAGTCTCTCTAGTTTTTCGTGAACATTATCACTGGACCTAGTGGTCTTTGGAGGTGTCCTGGGGACTCGTCTAGGTGTGACACCCCTCTCTATCTCTGTCGTGTGGCAGCAACAATTTCCTCCTTGATAATCAGGATCAATCACCCTTTTAGAACAAAGAATTTTGTTCTGATGCATGAAGATGGCCAACTGACAAGATGGCGGGCTTCACTTCCAGTTCCGAAAGACCACTGCATTCTCTCCTGGGGACTAAGGACTAAATAAGCAGAGCCCGAAGCTGGACGGACGGGAAGCCAGCACTCGGTGAGAGACTTCTAGAGTAGCTGAAGACGACGGTGACAGCACAGGGCCCCATCTCCCCTTGAAAAACAGAGAAAGATAAAACTACGCCAAACCAAGCCCTCGGCCTAACCTGCAGGCAGAGAATGTCAAACTTAATGATTGTAAGTAAAATTAATAGCAAATGACAGCCATCCCTCTGGTCCCAGCCCTACCCCGCCATAGGCTCCGGGCAAGCAAAGACGGCCTGGGAATAACTGGGGAGAGAAAAGAGGAGAAAACGCGTGATCTAAAATGGCACCAGGAAGACTAAGCCCACCCTAGGTCTGAAAAAATTTTAAAGTGCCTGGGGGCTTAGGGCTTGGACTAGAGGTACGGGACTTTTAAGTTATATGTGTGATTTGAAGGGGCAGCCTTTGAAACACGTAGATTCTGGGGAAGCGAAAAATGGAAAAAGGAAGGAAGACGTGCCCTTTGGCATTTGGGTGTGAAAGGGGAAGTAAATGGAGACATTTCATTGTTCTGAAGACAGAACAAAATCAGAAGACGTATAACTAACTCCCCCCGCCCCAAACAAACAGACAAACAAACAACACACCCATTAAAGTATCTGGACTTTGCTGTGTTGGCAGAAGAGAGCACATCAAACAAGAGTCTTATAAAACACCCAACACCAGAGAAATGAACAAGATAAAAATGAACAGGTTCACACAGAGTTATCGCAAGATATCAGAAAATGAATTTCATCACCTATCGACCAAAGAAAAGTCACACTACTGTGGAAAAACAGCCAGGAAGTAGAAGAAAGCTGTAATACAACACTAAACGGAATGAAATATACTCAAAACGAGCACGTGAAGAGAAGCGAAACCCCCTTAGATGAGAGATTTAAAAAGATCGGAAATAGACAAAACCCAGGGAGAAATGAAGAGAGTTGATCGAACTCAGGAAATAAACACGAAATTATCTAGAAATAAAGATCATTACAAGATGCCCAAGGAAGAATAGTGTCAAAAAATATAATAATAAGGGACATTGAAGGAAGACACAAGGACAATCAGAATGAAAATGAGATAAAGAAGTAGAAGGGATCACAAGAAAGTAATCGCAAAGTAAAACAGAAGGTAGTCCAAGAAGAAATCACAGTTGTATTATTGGGCTTCTAAAGAAAAACTAAACAATGAACCACCACTGGTATTTAATACTGTAATCTAAGAAAAGTTTCTAGGAAAAAAAATCTCCATCTTCAAAGGGCCTGCTGGGTATCTTGGAAAATTAATACAGAATAGTCAACTTTGAGACATCTCATAAAACTATAAGACTTCAAAGATTTTTTTTCAAAAAAGCCCCCAAAATGTCTAGGCAGAAAGATCAAATAACTTACAAGGCAAATGAATTATAATGGCAACAGACAGAGCAAGATAACACTGGAGCAGCATTTTTTAACGTTATGCTTTTGAAAGTGTAAACCTAGGTTTTTCTATCCACACAAATTGTCCTTCAAGGATCAAGGCTATAGGAACAGTTTTTCAACAAGTACATACTCACCTGTGAGCCAGTCTGATAGAGAATGCACTTCAATCAAGAGATGACGAACATATATAGATCTAAAACTAAAACAAAGGTGGGCATGAGGGTTAATAACTAAGTAAAGATGTTATATATTGTGATAAGGAATAGAACTAAAAGCATGGGAGAACTAAAAGCATGGAAAGAGGAAGATAGGATAAGGTAGTCTGATGGCCATATAGGTGCACGTCAGCTCGATTCCCTCTTCATTGCCTGCTCTGTGAAAATAAGTCTGGACCCTTTTAATATCTTTCTTTGCTTGCTGGCTCATTGTTAAGCCTTGTCGGTAGAGGGCGCAGAGGAGCCACTGCAGAAGGCAGTTGTCCTTCCTCTTCTTGATGTGCTCACTAGACAATCTCCGGAAGCTTCTCCAGTACCCAGGCGTCCTCCAGCATCAAGCAACTACAGTGTTCATGGCTTCTCCAGCTCCAGGCTCCTGCAGTGTGTGGTAGTCCACAGCAACTAGCAGTACAGAGGACAGCCCCTGCTCCCCAAACTATGCTGGAATTATTCAAATTAGCCAATCCTAAACTGTTTGCCCTGCCCCGCCTTGCTTTTCCCTCAGAAACACCAATAAAGGCTGTGGCCTGTGCTGTCCCCTCCTTTCTGCCTCCTGACCAACTCTAGTGATTACCCATGTGGCCTTGCAGGGCATGCTGTGCCTCTTGTTTCTCAGGGAACTGTAAGGAACATTGAACTTTTCTTTCAATGGCATTGACTTCATGTCATCACTCACTCACCTCTATAAATTAAAATCCATGGGCACAATTAGGACAAGGACATACCACATCCTATAAGACAACTGCCTGTTACTGCAGTTACTTCCTATTCTGAAGTCTTGAAGCCCTCAAAGTTATCCATGAGGAATGGAATCAACTTCTTCCAAACTCCTGTTAATGCTGATATTTTGTCCTCTTCCCATGAATCATGAATGTTCTTAATGACATTCAGAATGGTGAATCCGTTCCAGAAGGTTTTCAATTTACTTTGCCCAGATCCCTCAGAGGAATCGCTGTCTATGGCAGCTATAAACCGTACGGAATGTATTTCTTAAATAATAAGACTTGAGAGTCAAAATGTCTCCTTGATCCATGGGCTACAGGATGGATGTTGTGTTAGCAGGCACGAAGACATCTCGTGGTTCCAGAAAATAAGGAAACCTATAAAAGACTACTAGGGTCACATCAAAAGACTCAGGAGCTAACTTGAAGAGGGTCCCACTGGCAAAAGATGGGATGATCAGAATAATAACTACAATTAACTGAACTATCAAAATATTAAAATCCATTATTTAACATTTTTTTAAAGGTCACCATAGGAACATGCTAGAGAAACAACTTATTTAAAAACCTGAGAAATGAAAGTATCAAGCAATTATTTTGCCTTTCTTATATTCACTGTACCAGTGGACAACCAAATAGTTGATGGGGGCAGTTTTCATTATAGAAGTATTGCATCTAGTAAATGAAGAATTGGTGGACTTCGAATATAAATTTTTAAACCCCAATGAATTAAAAGGTCTAGGCAATGATCATTTACGGCTGTTAACTTCACAAAAAAGAGAGACATAAGGTATTATGTCCCTCCTGATGGAAAAACACACCACATCTCTTGAAGCAGTCTCGCTCCCTTCCCCACTAAAGTGGGGTGGGGAGCAACGAAGCTTTCTTATCTAATTTCCAGGAAATACAAGGCAGATTAACACAATACTACAGGAATGCAATCACTAATATTTAGACTTGGAAACTTACAAAAGTGAAAATATAAAAAATAAAATCCAGCACGTACTCCTGACTTTAAAAAAAAAACAACAAAAAACCTAAGTGGTACAGATTTAACAAGACATATAGGAAAGCTAAAGGTGTTTTTGTGATTATTGGTGAGGTAGCAAAAGCGTTCCCATGAAAGTTTCAGGAAAACAGAACCATGTCTATTGATACCAGTAACATTTGAGATCTTTCTCTGAAAGTGCTAGAAAAAAAAATTACACGATGTAATGAGAAGGCAAAATCATTATTTGGAAGTCAGATGACTAATTCTGGAAGAGCCAAGAAAATTAAATGAAAACTATTAAGGATAACAAAAGAATTCAGTAGACACATGGTTTAAAAATTAATATGTAAAGATCAACAGCTGTTCCAAAAACTGGCCTGAAGTCCAAATCCAGCCCACTGCCTATTTTTGCAAATAAAGTGTTATTGGAACACAGCCATGCTCATTCTTTTACATATTGTCTATGGCTGTTTTTATGCTAGTGTCAAAGTTGAGCAATTGTGGCAGAGACCATATGTGAAGTTTGCCAACCTCTGCTGTAGATAATCAAAATAAAATGGAAAAAAAGATCTAATTTGTAACAGAAACAAATGATAGAAAAAGACTTTAAAATAATAACTATTATATAAAGAAACCCTCACAACTGTACAGCTAGACAAAAGACATGAAGAAATGGAAGTATGTATCTTAATAGAAAACGAAAGCAAAACTCTAATGCCCTCCAGCCAAAGACCACCAGGAACACATCTGTAGTTGAACAGATGGGTTTATTATTCTTGCGCTGTGGGGCATCTCAGTAAGAGGGTGTTAGGAAGGATTTTTAGGATTTGGACTTGTGTTAAGTGATTTGGGGGAGGGTTTAAGGAAGCAGCCCTTTCCTCTGGATTGGATGCTGTCAGGAAGTGGGAGTCTTTCTATGATGGGATAATGTTAACAAATCTTAATTAGACAGAGGCTAAAGCTGTAATTGGTAAAGAAGCAACAGTCACTTATCCAAGATAGAGGGATGTTTATCATTTTTGTGGTTTGGACAATGTTTCTGCCTTTGTCCGTGTCCACATGATTATAGAGTGACCTTGTTTTTGCCTTGATCCTTCATGTCACAGAGTGACCTTGTCTGATAATGTTCTGTGAAACTGTTCATGTTCAACAGAACACCAAGTCCAGCTCCTGGATGTCTGGGGTTGTTCTTCTCAAATCTATGAATTAAATGCAATTTTAATCTTAACTACCAGTTCATATGTGTTTTCTGAGACAACTTTACAAAACAAACCTAAACTGGGTATCTGAACAAATAAACAGAGAAGAGTTAAGAAACCAAAAATATCGTGAGAACTAAAAGAAAAAAAAAAAGATAAATTTGACTACACAAAAAAAATCTTCTGTGTAATAAAAGTCAATGCTACACAAGTTTGGAAGACAAACCACAAAATCAGATAAAATATCTTCAACACATTTGAGGAAGGGTTGATGTCCCTGGTAAAATTCAAAACACAAACTCTACCAATCAATATAAAAAGTGTACTTTTCAGAATCCTTTTAATTTTTTTACAAAAGAATGTACCATTGTACACTGAAACAAATAAATATTGGATGTCAACTGTAATTGAAAAAAAAATTTTAATGAAAAAAATTACCAGTGAAAATTTCAAGGAAAAAAAAAAGCTAAGAGTTGAACACAGGGAGGCGAGGCTTGCAGAAGAGCCTCAGGGAAGGCCTACGCTTCCCAGGAAGCTCTGCACTGACTGTCCTCGGCCTCCCGACAGGCTTCGCGCGAATTTCGCGCCAGCTTTGGCCTTTTCCAGCGAGCCAGGGAGTCGCGGCGGAGAATGGAGAACATCGACGAGGAAGACGTGCAGAAGCACCGCGTCCACCTGCGCCCCATCACTCTGCGCAACGCCGCCCCGGCCACGCTGCACCTCCTGCCCTGTGAGGTCCCGGTTAACCGGCCCGCTCCTGTGGAGCGCTTCTTCACCCCGGCCATCCGCCAGGGTCCTGACGGTGAGCGCCCGCGGCTGGACTACGGCTCCCGGCAGCCCCCGCGCCGACGCCGCGTTCTCGTAGGCGTGGAGGGTTGCGAGGGCTCCTGGGGCTCGTGGTCCGCTGAAGGCGGCGGGAGGGCCTGGATCGGGCCTTCACTGAGGCCCTGTGCCTGCCTCCCCCAGGACTCCAAGTGTCGTTTCGTGGTCGCAAACTACGGGGCGAGGAGGTGGAGGTGCCGTCCGGCCTCGAGGGATACGTAATGGTGATGGAAGAGAAAGGAGAGGTGTTGGTGGGGAAGCAGGACTTCTCGGAGGGTTCAGAGAATGACGAGCAAGAGGAGCAGGGACTGGTGGAACCCCCGGAGGCGCTGGAGCGGGACTTCGTGAGCACAGGGGCATCGAGTTGGCGGGGGTGCGGGCGGGGGCGGCGGCCTCGATGCTGAGCCAGGACCCTTCCCCAGGACCGCTTTATCGGAGCCTCTGCCAGGTTTAGCCACTTCACCCTGTGGAACCTGGAGACCTTTCCTGGCCCGGATGCCAAAGTGCGTGCGGCCCTAACCTGGCCCAGCCTCGCTGCAGCGGTGAGTAGATGGGCCCTCATCCTCCCAGACCCCATTCATTCCCCATCCCTGGCTTCAAAGGTATTTCCTGGGTTGTCCACAGTCTTGCCCCTGAGTGGATTTGGGGCTTTAGGGCTGTGAGGCACAATGGGGCAGAAAATGGAGCCTGGGTCTAACTGGAGGGTTAGACTGGCTAAGGGCAGCGTGGCTTCCCCACTACTCTTCTTTGGCACTTCTAGAAGGGGCGATCATTCTGAGCAGCTAGGTCGCTCCCAGAGTATATGGGCTACCCAGCCACTCCATTCTCAGAAATCCAATAGTAAAGGTGACTCCTGTGGCAGATTCATGCACCAGTGCCGGAGGACTGAGAGCCCGAGCTTGAAATTGAAAGCCACCGATCCCCTCACCCCAATAAACCAGCTCTTCCCTTTGGAGCCACTGATTCCATCATCCCCAATAAACCAGCTCTTCACAGCACCTGTGAGTTTGCCCACACTTCATGCCTTTAAGCCGGTACTGTCCCTTCTCCCACAAGAACCTGTCATGGCTCTGGCCTGTGGAAACAATTTATTGGTGGGGGCAGGGAACAGGGGCTGGTGGGGGTAAGAGAGGCCAGAATTCTGCAGCCAGTACCCACCCCACCCCCAACTCCTACTTTACAAAAGAAATTTTTACAGCTGCCGGCTCTCTGTTCAGAGTGCCCCCACCCCCATCTCACTGTACACAGCTGCCTGGCTCCCTCTAGTCCCTGGTTCACAGCAGGCCTGGGCCTGCGGCCAGCTGACTTTAGAGTTGACCTGAGCCCTGAGCTCACTCTGGTGCTGGGCACCAGCCAGCCCCTACCAGGCTCGTCCTCTCCTTGTGGAACTGTCCTCAGCCTGGTCCGTCTCCCTTGGTGTCCCTCTTAGGGGCCTGTTGGGAGCTGGATGGGATGTCGGCCCCCATTTGCCCGCTTTGTTGGCACTAGTATGGGCAGTGCCTGGTCACCACTTCCCCCTCTTGCTCCAGTCCTTGGGAGTGAAGTGCAGACACTTGGAGTCAATGCGGAGGAGCCGCTTGAGCATGGCCCGCTCGTGCCCATCCACGATGTCCTCTGACAGTGTGAGGATATACTGGCCCTGGGCGGGAGACGAGAGCAGGCAGGTCAGCCCACAGGGGCCTGCACGCTACACCCCTCCGCACGCCCCTCCCCCCTGCTCACTCCTCACCTTGTAGTAGTTGATGAGGTTGAGGTACTGTAGGGTAGAGATGACATCCTCCTTCTTGATGCTTGTGATTTCACTGATCTCGCTGTGGGAGGGCAAAGATCAGGTTCTCTGGGGGCCTTTACCTCTGCCCTAGATCCCCAGAGCCCCGGGAGTGAGAAAGCTTGGGAACAGACAGGCCCCGCCATACACCCTCAGGTAGGTGGGGCCAGGCTCACTTGATGGTGATCTGCGGCCTCTCCCCGCTGTCTGACTTCAGCCCCATCAGGATCTCCAGGATGGTCTGGGACCAGTAGCTGCGGTAGGACAGGAGGCCAAGGTCCGAGAGGGGCTTCTCTGGGGTCCCCGTTTTCCCTTCCACTTTGGAGAGTTCATAGCCTACAGCGGTGGAGAGGAAGAGGGTGGGTGAGCGGGCGCAGCTTCACGTAACCATGCTGAAGGGCACAGGCTGTAGAGGCAGATGCCTGCTACCCATCCTGGCCCTGCCATGTGGTTGTTTGCTCTGTGCCTCAGCTTCCTCATAAAGGACTAATGAGCACTCACTCTTCGTCTGTGTACTGAGCACAGTGGAGAGTACCGAGGGCACCGAGAGGAGCAGCTACAGCTGGGAGGGGTGCTCAGGACCCAGTGAGGGCTTAGACACGGGGCTGGGGGCAGCAGAGACGATGGCTTATAGAAAGCAAGTGCCTCCAATTTTCCTGTGTCACGCTACTCTCTATACATGGGCTTGTGAGCAGACCTCACCTCTACTTCAGGCCTGATGTGCTTGGATTTTCAGTCACCTCAGTCCCCCTAGCTGTGACCCGAGGAGTGTCGGTGGCTCCAAGACCAGGCCTGCCTGACCAAGTGGTTGTGAGGCCTCAAGGAGAGAAGCACTGGCTTCCCCGCAGCCCTGTCCCTCCCACTGCCGGCTCTGCCCACCTCTCGCCTGCGCACCACTGGGCACTGGCAGCAGTTCCTGGGGAGACATCAGGTCCTGAAAAACCCATCGTGGCTTCACATCTCTTGGGCAGAGTCTTCATTCTCCCTGGCAGGGCCTGGGATGTCTCCACCACCAGAAGCCCCTCCTCACCCTGTCACAACCAGCCTCATGTTGGACCGCAGCCCTGTCTGCTCCCTCTCTTTGGAGCATCTTTATCAGCCATTCTTGCCTTCTTACTCAATCTTGTGACTTTTCCACCAAGCAACCTGGTGGTGAGAGGGAGAGACTGGTGCTTTGGAGAGAGGAAGCACGGAATAAGAAGGGGATGCTGGGTTCCTACTCAACCTAGCTGGGTCCGCAGTACGTGGAGAGTCCTGACAGATCAAGCAGAGACCACACCGGTCTCCTCAGCTGGCGGGAACTCCGACCCCGCCCCAGTGAACACCCACCCACCCTGTCTGCCATGCTGAGCGCACCTCCCTGCTGGCCCCACTAAGGTCTGACCTCCAAGGCACAGACTGAGTTTAAGCATCTGCCTGCTTTAGCACACTGAAGGCTTCCTGAAGATGTGACCCCACCTTGCTATCATTCTGCCAAATAAAATTTCTCAAATGGACCACGACCTTGAACAAGTCCAGCCTCTGCGTCTTCCCCAAACAGCTAAGGCTCCCGCCCCATCTTCCAGGTCAGAGCCTGGTTATCCAGGCTGGGAAGCAGAGGGACCTTGGGGTTGACGGGACATTGAATAGTTCACGAAGAATGAGGAGCAGAGTCCTTTCTGGTCTTTAAGAGACTGACCTGACCGAATGCAGAAATGGGCTGAATCGGTGCAAGTCAGTGCTCACATCTGTTTGCTGAGTTAACAGCATTCTGAACATTTACTGTCTGCCAGGCTCGGGGACAACTGGGGAAATGAGGAACTGGTCCTTGCCCAGGAGCTCATATGACATTGTAATACCAAAGAGACAAGCAATAGTGGCTCACTCGGCTTCCACCCGTAGCCCTGGGTAGGGGCAGATGAGTCACATTTGGGAACAGTTGGGTGGTGCTTGGGACCTTGGCCGAGAAATGGTGAGGGACTGAGCACCTACTCCAGATGAGCAGGGCAGTCACCCTGAGGACTGGGGGACCCTGGAAGCTTTCCACCTATTTCCAACCAGGTCCCCCTGGTGACCGGGCTGCACAGCCATTGCCGAGAATCACATCAATCCCGCAGGTCTGTGTGGAAGGAACCAATGGGAGCCCTGATGCCAGGGCCGTGCCCCGGCCCCTGGCAGGAACACAGCTACTCACTGAATTCGATCAGCAGCTTGCCGTAGCCGCGGCGCTGGTAGGGCGGCAGAGTTAAGATGCAGGCCACGTTATAGTCTTCCGTGGACTCCTTTTCCTGGAAGAGAGGGGCGGGCGAGTGTGACGGAGGGGCTCATGGCAGGAGAGGCCAAGGGGCGGCCGCATGAGCACTCACCTTAGAGAAGTAGCCCACGATGTGGAAGCCTTTGCAGTCATACTCCGTCATGACGTAGAAGAGGAAGGGGTCCGTGTCATAGTACAACGTCTTGTGGTCGAGGAAACACTTGGCCAGAAGACATAGGTTCTGGGAGTAACTCTGCAAAGGAAAAGACCTGTCACCACTCTGAGTTCCCCACCTCGGAGTGTGGCCCACTGGGCTAGGGTCGACCAGGAGCCTCTGTGCTCCGAGCTGATAGGTGAAGAGCCTTACTCCCCAGAGGCTGACCCATTCCACTGACACGACTGTCGCTGCCCCTCAGGCAGGGCCACTCCTCAGCGTCGAGGAGCCCATGTACCTGCTTCCTGGTGAGCTGGGCAGGTTTTCCCATGCTCACCATGCCTCCACCTAAGTCTGCCCGGGGCAGGGGGTGGGGGGGTGGGGTTCCACTGCTCTCTACTACGGTTAACAACAGTTAACAAACTGACACATCCCCAAGAAGACTGACCAAGGCATACGAGAGAAGCTCTACTCATGTGACAGTTTAAGGAGTCTGCTTGTCAAAAAATAAAACATTCTCCTGCCTACAATCACACCTCTTAGGAACTGATCTGGCGGGCTCCAACTAAGGGAAGGCACTCTTGAATTTAACAAAACAACAGCCTTAGAAGTTTCCCCAGAAAAATTATTCTTGCTACTTTCCCTCTACACACAGTTTTTCCTGCATCGCACATGACTTTTTAGGCACCTGCTGGGCACTGCCATTTGGATGCCCAAGTCTACACTTAATACAGAACGGTGGTTAAAGCAGCCTCTTCCTCAAGCTCCCCAGCCAGAGCTCGCCCCTGCCAGTCAAGGCGCTCGCTTCTCCCTCACTGCTCTCTGGCCCCAACTGGCCTCACTCCTACCACCTGAGCTCTGTCCCTCATAACAGCCTTGCCTCACCCTGCCCTTCGGCTAGAGGGTCTTTGCATTTCACACACACACGCTCTACATCCACGAACCCCACTGCTTCGGAGTCCCTTACCCACGAACCCCACTGTTTCGGAGTCCCTTACCCACCTTGTCTTTCAGGTCAAGGCTCAAAAGCCACCTCCCCTGTGAAGCTTTGGTGACTACCTCCTCTGGGTCCTAAGAACCTACCCTTTGTTTTATGATGCATCACACTGGGATCTAAGTGGCTGCTGGTGGCTGTTTTCCCCATGGACTGTGAGCTCTCAGCAGAGACTTTGTCTAATTCCGTCTTTGTACCTCCCAGCACCTGCCCGACAGCAGGAACTCAATAAAAATGGAGTGAACCGATCTGCTGGCCATACTGGTCAATGTTTTCCTGAGCAGGAAGAAGCTGCTCATTTGACTTCCCCCAGACTTCCAGGTCCAAGGACGCCCCACTGTCCCTCGGCCACTGACCTTGTTCTTACGTCCATCGATCTCAAAGAAGGATATGGTGCCCTTGCGGTAAATCTCATTGCCTGGAGGATGTCGCAGATCACACTTCGTCTGAGGAAGAGCAAAGGATCAGGGGCTGGACAAGGTGGGGGTGCGTGCTAGGAGGGCTGCCTCCTGGAACCCCTCATACCAAGTGACGCTGCAGACACTTGAGGCTGCGGCCATACTTGAGGCAGAACTCGCAGAGATAGAGGACGGGCAACGTGGTGAGCTCCTGTGGGTACGGGGAGAAGTACCACGGCTTGAGGCGGTGCCGGCCCAGCTCGATGCACTCAATGTTCTTCATCCGGGTAACAATGTCGTCGTGGCTCCGGTCAGACACCAGGCTCCCAGTCATGCGTGGAGCTGATGGTATCCCATCTGAGCTGTCCTGGGAGTCCTGCCCAGAGCCAGTGGAAGACACCAGGTTACAAGAGACTGTACCACTAACATAGCCCTCCCACAGGTTTCCTTGTTCAAGCCTAATAGCAACTCTATGGGGGACGGACAATAACCCCCCCCTCCAAATAAAGAAACTAAAACATGGCAAGTTTTTGTTCAAAACTTGGGATCACCCAATGACTGACCTGAACCAGCTCTGTCTGGTTCCTATTACCAACACCACAGCTGCCCACCACCCCATTTATTTTTAAACTAGTCACTAAACTTTCCACCCAACCTATGTCCCCGCCTTTTCACCAAGCTTCTCTCTTCCCCAGACCTACCTCATCAGTGCCCAAGCAATTCGATTTTCGCTTCCGTCCTGGCTGAGCTGCCACTGCCCTACGGGCTGACCCATTCTGCAAGTGAGATGGTAGAAACAGAAGGGGTGACTGTGACATGAATCTGAAAGAAGCTACTGGAGGGATGAAAAAAGGGAAGAAGAGATGGTTTGGAGAACTTACCTGGGGAAAAACTGAGGCTGGGGCTGTCTCGCTGGGCACTGGAGTTGCTGGTGAAACCACCTCCACCTTCCGTTTCTGCAGAGAGAAACCAAGAAAGGTGGGTCAGAAGGTAGAGAAGGAGGGACCTAAGAGGAAAGCAAGGTCCCTGGAATTGCTGAGGGTACCGTTGAGCGGTGGTTGGGCTGCAGGCAGGAGCTGGAGGAGAGCGGCTGGTCGGGCTCGCCACCGGGAATGGCCTCCCGCTCCTTGGGCAGGTTGAAGCGGAGTGTGATCTGGACCGGGATTGGCAAGGTCTTCCCGCTGGCCTGGGTGGAGGCCGGCTGTAGAGATAGGTCCAGGGTCTTCCTCTGGGGTGGGGATGGTGGTGGGATGGGGAAGGGAATAGGAGCCCCTCAGCATGGAGTGATCAAACCCCACCCTCTGCCCTCTCAAGGACACAGGAATAGCCGCTGGACTCTGGAAGCTACATCTGCAGTTTGGCCCCCATCATTTGCAAGTTGAAGCCAGGGTGGGAGAGCACCGCCTCCAGCCCATCCAGGAGCCACTGAGGCCAAAAGATGAGAGAAGTAAGAGGCAGGACAGAAGAGGTGAAGTAGGGGACCTACTCACCACCTCTCTCTCTGGAGAGCCGGGGCGGGACCCAGGAAGTCCGTTCTTGGTGGGGGTCTTAGCCTCTTTCTTAGGGAACTGGATCTTCTTCAGGTCCAGCCGTTCGTGGGTCACCCATTCATCCAGGCGTTTGTTGACTGCAGCAGTGGGGATGTCTCAGGAAGGAATGCCAGAGGCTACCTCCCAAAGCTACCCTGCAGCCCCCTCTCACCCCAGCCCAGCACTCACAGTCAATGTAATGGACATAGAAAAGCTTCCGACCACTGATGTCCTTCACGCTCAGGATCTCGGCCAGGGCTGTGGGAACAGCAAAGGCAGGAGCTTTAGACGGGCTAGGCCATGAGGCTCCACCCCAGGCTGGATCCCTAAACCCCAGCACTTGGAAGCTCTCGCTTTAACCCCCTTTAGTCACCCAGTGCCGCCCCCTCTCCAAGCCCCGCCCTGTCCAGCTCGGAGCGGCTAAAGGCCACGCCCCTCCTGAGTGTCTGCGCCCCGCCCGCCACAGAATCCTCGAGGCCCCTCCCCGTCCCGAGGGTTCGGTTGACTCCCTCCCGCCCCTCACCCCAGGTTCCTTGGCCCCGCCCCCCGACGTCACTCACGCCACTCATCTTCGTTGTCCTGGTTCCGCCGTAGCACCGGCAGGCGGCAGCCTTCGATTATCTCCCCCTGGGGAGACAGCGCGGCGCCAGTGTCGGCTACTGGGGGGCCTCGGGCTCTACCCACCTCCCCTGGCTCCCTCCGCCCCGCCCCGGGCACCGGACTCACCACCTCCGCCATCTTCCCTCCCTCCACTGCCACTTCCGGCCCCTCTGGGAGACGTCACTTCCGGGACTGAGCGTGCTTTAGGCCTGGGCTTCCCGACGCCCCTGTAGAAGAGGACCCTTGGAAGACACCGCCGCCAAGCTGGAAGCGGGTAGCTGGCCCCTTGGGCTGTTGAGAGACTGTGGTATTTTAAGTTCCGGGCCGGGTCCTGGGTGGAATCTCCACAACGAACGCAACGATTGGCGGAAAGCTCAGTCCGTCACGTGACGCCCACCGGGTGCGACGCTGGTCACGCGGACGCGGCGTGGGTCACGTGAGACTAGTGTTTGTGCTTTGCGGGTGGCCAGACTCCGGCGTCTCTTAGTAGCGGTGGATGGTGTCGCGGGGAGTGAACTGCGCGTGCTCGGCTGGGGGGGGCGGGTCTGGAAGGTTTGAGAGGCTGGAGAAGTTGGGCGGGACTGTGAAGGGATTTCGACGCCTGGCCAAGTTTGTGGACTTCATTCCTTAAGGATGGGTACTCACAGAAGATGTCTAGATTGTTTCGTATATTAAGTTTCTAATTATAAAAGTAATACAACATAATTCATTCATACATTCAACAAATGTGTAAGGACCTACTACTATATATCAGGCACTGTTCTAGGAGCCTGGAATATATCAGTGAATGGAATGAAGAGCCGTGCCCTCATAGAGGTTACATTGTTGGGGGTTGGGAGGAAAAGGAGAGGTTTATATAACAAACAATAAATATATTAAAAAGTTAATTAGCGTATTAGTAAGTGATAAGTGTTTGGGGAAACCAAAAAGAGTGTACACGGTAAAGGAAATGGGCAGATAGGTTGCAATTTGAAATAGAATGCTGAGGGCAGGCCTCCCTGGGAATGTATTTCTTCAGTAAAGGTTTAGAGAGGGAAGGGAAAATCCATGCAGATACTTGGGGAAACTTTCAGAAAAACAGACCACAATAGGGGGAGAAAATGTAACCTCAGATCATAACGGGGGAAACGTCCACAGTGAACATTTCGGTTGTGTGTCCTGTAGAATAGGGGTGAGCAAACTGTGGCCTGTGGGCCAAAGCCAACCGTCTGCTGATTTTCTTACAGCCAATGAGCTAAGAATGGTTTTTGTATTTTTTAATGGTTAGGGGGAAAAATATAGATATTTCATGACACGTGAAAATTATGAAATTAAAATTTCAGTGTCCACAAGTAGTTTGTATGGAATGTAGCCACACTGCTTCATTTACTTTGTCCATGACTCCTTTCACACTAAAACTGAATAATCGTATCTGAAATACAAATCTCTAACGCACAAAGCCTAAAATACTATCTGGGCCTTTACAGAAAGTGTTTGCTATGCCCTGCTTTATAAACGATTATGTTATCTTTTGAATACAAAAATAGGTTCTTACTGTGTATACTGTTCTGTGACCAGCTTGTTCACTTAACAACATAAATTGAACACTTATCACTAAATATTCCTTAGCACCATTTAATGGCTATATAGTGTTTTGTTATTTAGATGCACCTTAGCTGCCATAACCAATTGCCTATTGTTGAATATTATTTTCAATTTTCCACTATCACAAAAAGTGCCACAAAGAGTATCGTCGTAGCTACAACTTTCCACACATTCATTTTAGCATAATTTGCATCGAAGATATAAATGGAGAATGACTATATCTGCATTTTAGAATAATCATCCTGGTGACAGTGTCCTTGGATTAAAGGAGATAAGACCAGAAAAGGACCAATAGGAGGTCTGTTGAAATTGGCTATTCACTGATAAAAGTCAATAAAAAGTCAGAGCTTGCTCTGTATTGCATTAGTACAATTTCAGTTCTTGCCCCCTTGCCATCTACAAGCCGAAGACCCAGGAAAGCCAGTGGTATAGTTCCAGTCCAAGTTTGAAGGCCTGAGAACCAGGAGAGTAGATCGTGTAAGTTCTAGTTCAAGACTGAAGGCCTGAGAACTAGGGGAGTCAATGGTGTAAGTTCCAGACCAAGGGCAGGAGAAGATTGATGTTCCAGACTCAGGCAGACAGCAAGTTCTCCTTCTTTGCCTTTTTGTTCTATTCTGACCCTCAGCAGGCTGAGTGACGCCTACCTACAGTGGGGCAGGCCATCTTCTTTACTTGGTTTATCATTTCAAATGTTAATATACAGAAACACTCTCATAGATATACCTCTGAAAGTAATAATGTTTAATCAAATATCTGAGCACCCATGACCCAGTCAAGTTGATACATAAATTAACCATTTAGACCATATATGTGCATTTATGTAAAATTACTTATGAACGACATGTCTAGAAATATTTTAAATTTAAAAATCTTCTTTTCATTGGAGTGGTCCCCCGCCTAGGGTTAAGGAGCTAGGTGTTGATCTTCCTTATTTATCCTCCTATCAGGCGTTGGCCGAGAGTTGCTTTCAAAGGTGTTCATTCCTCGAACTTAAACCTTTCCCCGTGTGTGGGCTGGACATGCTCCTGTGGTTAGAAAAAGCCTCAGAGAAAAGTGTCCCACAGAGGAAAAAGCCAGGGCCCACCCTCTACGTCAGCCTCAGGATTTCATCTTGAAGGATGTTAATAATGTGTTTACTCAGGAAAATGAGCAGTCCCCTTCAAGGTGGCGCCTGCCTTCCATCCTACATGTCAGCGACTCAGAGGACCTCATGTCCATTCTGCCAGTTTCAGAAGAGTTTCTGTGCCACCACAAAGGAGAGATACTGGTCACTGTATCACAGGGACAATAATGGTAACACCTACAGATGATGTGTGTGCAGGTCTGGCGTGGTGTCTGGTACGTAGCGAGCACCCCAAAATCAGTAGGCTGCCTTAACTACAAATAGAGTGGTCAGGTGTTTTCAATATCCCACTTCTGCCTACTATTGCAAAAATGATTCAAGGAGAAATAGAAAATATAAATAGAGTAGTCATATCTATTAAAGGAATTGAGTTCATAAATTAAAACCTACCCACAAAGGGACTGCTGGGTCCAGATTGTTCACTGGTAAATTCTATCAAAATTAAAGGAAAAATAATACTAATCCTACACAAATTCTTTTATAAAACAAGAGGGACACTACCCAACTCACTTTATAAGGCCAACATTACCCTGATACCAAAATCATAGCTATCACAAGGAAAGAATGCATAGACATATTCCACATGAACATAGATGTAAAATTCGGTAGTAAAAGACTATCAAATAATTCCTGTTCTTCATTGCACCTATCTCTACTTGATACATTGCATATTCATGTATTTATTTATTACATATATCTTCCATGTAGAATACAAGTTCTCTGAGTGCAAGCACTGTTTTGTTTATGATTGTCCTTTCTACACCACCATCCCAGCATCTAGAACAGTGCTTGACCAATATTAGATGCTCAGTAAATATTTGCTGAATGATTAAGTGAGAGATGGACCTCTAGTTGATTACAGGAGACACATGGTTGCCCTTGTGAGCTTAAGTACAGACAAAGATAATGGAGCATTTTAAAAACATCTGAAGATTCCAGTCCTGACCCATCGTCTGTTGTTAAATGCAAGTATATTTATGCCATTAATTTAATAAAGGCTTAGTTTTTATTTTGTTAAAATATACATACATAACATTTACCCTTTTAATCATTTGTAAATGTACAATTCAGTGGCATTAAGGACATTCATATGTAACCATAACCATAGCCATCTCCAGAATCTTTTTTGTCATTTCCAACATAAACTCTGTACCTATTAAACAATAATTTCCCATTCCCCATTCCCTAACCCCGGTAATCTCTACTCTGCTTTCTGTCTCTATAAATTTTCCTACTCTAGGTACCTCATATAAGTGGAATCATACACTTATGATTCCACTTCGTCTGGCTTATGTCACTTAGCATAATGTTGCTGACCTTAAACAGTCATTTTACCAGCAAAAATGGGTTTACTCGAGAACTGCAAAGAATTGTAATTCGGGACAAGCAAGCAAGCTGTAGCAAAAGTCACAGCCAAGTCTGACAAAAGAGAGGAAAGTTACGGAGAAAAAAAAGTTGGGAAGAGTTGTTTTGAACAAAAGTCCAGGAGAAATGCAAGAGTTCAGAGAGATGAAGGTTTCTCATTAGCTGAGTTGCCAGGGTAGTTGATTTCTCATAAGAGATGCAGTGTACGTCTTTTCCTGTTAGGGCCTGTGATTGACAATTCATTCTTGTTGCTAATTCATCTGTTGGAGTCTGTAATTGACAATTCTTGTAGTTGACATTGAGTGATGCTGTGTGAGAGCTCCCCCTACTGGCCTCCTGACTCCATTTCAGTGAGATTTCCCTTTATTTTCACAATGTCAAGGTTCATCCGTTTTGCAGCATGTGTCAAAATTTCGTTCATTTTTATGGTTGAATAAAATACCACTGTTTGTATAGGCCACATTTTGTTTATCCGTTCTTCTGTTGATGGGCATTTTATGTGTTTCTACCTTAAGACTTGTGAATAATGCTACTAGGAACATTGGGGTACAGCATCTGTTTGAGTCCTAGCTTTCAGTTCTTTTGAATATATACCTAGGAGTGGAAGAGCTTGGTCATATGGTAGTTCTGCATGTAACTTTTTGAAGAATCACCAAACCGTTTTCCGCAGTGGCTATACCATTTTACATTTCTACCAGCAATGCACAGAGGTTCTAGTTTCTCCAAATCTTTAGAAACACTTGTTATTTTTTTTTTTTTTAATTAGGGGTTTCATTTTAATAATTATTCAGATTACATCAAGTCTGGTTGCTCCATGGCTACAGTTAATGATTACGTATTCTAGAAATTTGATTAAAATACATTCTGTTTCTAAGCTGCCTTTCTTATTTTAAGAATGAGATTCAATTTTATAGATTCAAAAAAGAACCTCAGTCAGAATCTCAGCAGGCATTATTGTAGAAATTGACAAGTTGATACTAAAATGTATATAGAAATTCAAAGGACTGAGAATAGCCAATGCAATTTTGAGAAAGAAGAATGAGGTCGGTGTAAGACAATGTAAGATTAGCATAAGAGTAGAAATATATATTGAAACATAGATCTATGGAATAGAAATAGATCCACACAGATAAAGTCAAATGATTTGTGACAAAGAAGTCAAGAATTCAATGAGGAAAGCATAAGCTTTTTAACAAATAAAGCTGGGATAGCTGGATATCCATTTGGAAAAAAAATGAGCTTTGATCCTTCATACCCTATACAAAAACTAATTTAAAATTGATCATAGACCTAAATATAAAACTAAAACAATTAAGCTGTAACTACAAAACTGGCAAATTTCTAGAAGAAAATACAGGAGAAAATTTTTGCGACAGGATGAGCAGAGATTTCTTTGATAGGA